GAGAGAACCCACGCTGCACGGGGAGAACATGCAAACTCGGTGCCCCCACCGGGACGCGAACCGGCAACCTTCTTGCTGCGAGGCACTCTAATTTTAATGAGTTTTCCTGTTTTGCAAAATTACAATTAATACTAAGTAAAACTACAAAAAAAAGGTATTAATTAAAAAAACAATACAGGCCAAAACTGTTAATAATGTCCACATCAGAAATGTGTATTTCTACAAATACTTCTTCATTTACATGTGTGACGGTGAAACTAGACCAGTATCAATATTTACAGATGTCTGCCATGATTGTCACTGTCTGTACAGTTTTTGAGCTTTACAGTATTCCATTGCTGTGCTGTGTTGTTTTATGGCACCCTGGCTGCCAGATTATTACAGTTGTTCACAGATTTGTTTATACCGTGCAGCTCCAGTGGAGGTCAATCTGAATGCAACGCTCAGGATTTCTCCCAACTTGTCAAACGTTTGTTTCCAGTGTTTCCTCTGAATGCCCCCAAACTTGAACCAGCTCTTTAAAAACATACATTTTCAGCATTGTATCGAAGATCTTGAGCGGATTTAAATCCTAGTTCAGGTTTCAACATGCTTTAGTTCACAGAGCGCGGCCTTAAAATCCACATTCACAGCCAGATGTTTGGATTGAAGGCAACACGGCACATCTCACATCACTGACCTTGGACAAGTGCTGCCACAGCTTGTCCTTCATTTACCCGCTTTGGACTGCGATGCCGAGCCGGTGCCAGTGGAGCCTGCAAACACAAGACAGCAACGTTAACAGCTCAGTCGCTAACTTTCCATTTCATTGAATGGATTTCATTTTGAAGCAAGTGGCACTTAGTGCAGATGTTACACAGCAAAAGAAACTCTGAGAAGCTTTTATTGTGAAATATCGATAGTCATGTCGGTCGAATTCTCAGAAAACATCACAAACACGGGAGATCCGAAAATAAGGTTCAGCTGAGAATGCGATCAATGTGTAAAGCAATTAAAACGCCTTGAAACGTCTTTTCTGTTAATCTGATGGCATTTCATGTCTGGAGGAGCATCCTGCTGACTGTCCTGTAAAACACACGACTCACTGGTAACGCTTCCACTTTACTTTTAACTTCAAGCCCCTTTTCTCACATTTCAGCATCAATATTCATCCAAAAACCTTACAAAGAGCAAAAGACACAGTTTGAAAGTCACACAATCCTTTTCTCATTCACTTTTCACATCTGTGAGGCTACAAACTGAAATCTTCATGAAGTAAAACGGTTTTCAGACAGTGCTGAAATGTTGAGCAACACCATGATGGACTTCGGTACCATGTGTTCGCTGAATCATGGGATCGGCAACGTTTTCTGTTTCTGTCACACTTCATTAAATCACTGACAGATTATTGAAGCCAGCAGTGTAAAGGACGAGTATTGCCCTGTTCCAGCTGAGCTACACGGAGGCCTGAGAACCTATGAGGCCACGGTGGTCCATCCATGAGCTACACAGATGTCCTTTAGAGGGTCACCTGTCACCTTTAGGGTGAACACACAAAGACAGACATACATTGAAAAGCAGCTTATAGGTTTTCTCACTCAAGTATTTGTCATTAGTTAAGGGGCTGCAGGTGGACCAGTGGTTAGC